GACCTGCGCGCCGCCTAGCGCTCGCGGTTTCCGTCCGCTCCGCCGAATCCCTCCGCGAGGGCCCTGCGTTTTGAATCCCTCCGCAGCTCACCCTCCCTGTCTTTAGGGATGCTGAAAGCACCCGGGTCCAGCGGCACTCCTACCTTCGGTCTTGACATGACGCGATTCCTCCGGGCCCGATTCAAACCGCCGCCTCACTCGGCTGGGACCTGTGCGTCCCGTTGCCAAGGCGACGGAGGGAGGGGTGGATCCCCGATCAGCGGCTCTGATTGGATGAGCCAAGAGCACTCCTTTCGGTGCTGTGGCTGGAAATCGGTGCAGCCCCGCGCCCCAGACCCCTCTAGTCCCCGAGCGTTTCTCTCTCAGTCCCACGCCTCCGAGACCTTGGGACTCTCCCGGCCACGGGCTGCCGCGGGCATTCACTGCCCAGCGCCTCTTCCAGCTGAACTTCGCTTGACCTGAGAGCGCTGAGTCTGAGAAGTTGTCAGCTTTTGGTAAATGCAATGGTTCTTAGTTTCCTTCCTCCGGCCCGAAGTCACCTGGTCAGCGAGTTGATCAATTGGTAATGCTGCCAGTCGCTTCTGCCCTCTCCCAGTCACTCTTCTTAATTCTTGAGCACCATCTCTATGCCAGCACTCACCTCAACGCCTGCAGTAGCCATCCTCCTGGCCTAGTGACCTCTCTTACCCAGCCCTTCCCAGTTCATTCTCTGCACTGCAGCCAAAGAGCTCTTTAAAACACAAATCCGATCTTGTCTCTCCCCTGCATATAACCTGAAGCGGCAGCTTGTTGGTCACTGCGCTCTGTACTGGCTCCCTGCCCTTCCCCTTCCTCACCCCGGAATCTATATACCAATCATAGCTGATTAGAAACTATTTTTTTTAGTTTGTTATTTTTTATAGCAACAAAAATGTAAGTTATGTAGGACTATGTCTTAACATAATGTATGCAAGTTATTTCATTAAACAAGAAATTCTTATTAAGCATTTTCTCTAGGTCATGTCCCATTCTTGACTCTGAGGATACAGCAATGAACAAAATCAACAAGCATCTGCCCTTGTGGAGTTTATATCCTCACGGAGAAAATTACAAGACACTAAAGGACATTAAAGATGGCCTGAATAAATGGAGGGACATACCATGTTCATGGATGGGAAGGCTTGATATCAACATAAAGATGTGTATTTTCCTAAATCCAATCAGGAATTTTTTGAGGTCTTGTCAAACCAAAACAACAAACTGTATGTCTTCAGGCAGAAGACATTTCCCTGGCTATCAGTCCCAGCAGGGAGAGGCAAATATCAATGGAATACAAGGGGGATCCTAGAAACAGACACAGTGTGTGTGTGTGTGTGTGTGTGTGTGTGTGTGTGTGTGTTAACTTGATGTACAATAGAGATGACATCATAAGTTGGTAGGGAAAGGATGGAGGGCTCAGTAAATGGCATCAAGGAACAGGCTTTCCTACGAATGAAAAATAGATGCCAAATTCAAGTGGACTAAAAAATAAATATGGCACCCGGCCAGGCGTGGCTCAGCAGTTGAGCATCAACCTAAGATCCAGGAGATAAAGGTTTGATTCTGGGTCAGGGCACATGCCTGGGTTGCAGGCTCGATCCCCAGCAGGGAGAGTGCAGGAGGTAGCCCATCAATGACTCTCATCATTGATGTTTCAACTCTCACTCCCTCTCCCATCCTCTCTCTGAAATCAATAAAGATATATATGTATTTAAAAAAAGAACAAATATGGCAAACTCAGGGCGAGGAAGGAATTCTTAGATAAGCAATAATAAAGCACAACTCATAAAGAAAAATAATTGTTATGACGCTCTCAAAATTTAAATTGCCATTTAACAGAAGACACTGTAAATATGATTAAAAGACAAGCTACAGACTAGGTTGAAAGATCTGCAATACATATAACAAAGGACTAGTACTCAAAGAATTCCTGCAAACCATTAAGAAAGAGTCCCCAACCCACAAAAGAAAAGAAAAATGGGCAAAAGATATGAATAAAGAGACTTCATCAGAATAAACTTTAATAGCCAATAAGCAAATTGAGATACAGCTGTACCTGGGTTTTCGAATGTACTCCGTTCTAGAAGACCATTTGAGTTCTGAAACGTTCTAAAACCAAGGGATCAACAGCCGACAGCTAGGCCTCAGGATCTTGCACTCAGCAGAAGGAGCGTGGCATGTTCAACTTCCGAGGCACGTTCAAAAACCGAAGCATTGACTTCTGGGTTTACAGCGTTGGTAAACCGAAATGTTCGTCAACAGAGACATTGGAAAACTGAGGTACTGTAAATAAATAGAAACAATTATAAGATGGGATTTTATGATCAGCTAGAAAAAAATAAAAACATATGTCAATGCCAAGTGTTTGTGAGCATGTTGGAAAATGGGAACCTTTCTGTGCTGCTGGTACACTCACACTCTGGAAGGCAATTTGACAATAGTTTGTAAAGTTGAAAATGCACATACCTTATAATCCATTGATTTCACTACTTTAACACCAACTCTATGCTATTGGCTGTATCATATAGGCTCTCAAAATACAGCTACACATCCCATGGACTACCTATCATTTTTCCGCTAAAGTGCAAGGTGACAACCTTTCCTAAAGAAATTCTCACACTTGTGCATAGGTCATATGTATAAAGATGTCCTTTGCAACATTCTTTATCACAGTGGAAAATATTAGAAACTAGTTAAATGTCTATTAGTAGGGTGATGGATAAATAAAATGGGATATATTCTAATAATGAAATACTACACAGTGATGAAAACAGATGATTCAGATTATATCAGTAAGAAAATATCCCCCAAACCTATTGAGTGAATAAAAGAAAGTTGTAGAATGATAAATATTTTGAAAGATTACAATTGGTATTAATTATAAACACACATACAAAAGTATATTCTATACATTTATGGGTATATAGGTATTAAAATTTTTTAAATATGGACTGATAGCCCTGGCCAGTGTGCTCAGTGGTAGAGGGTCGGCCCGCACACTGAAGACAGCCCCTGTGTATGCTGTGAATTCAAGGAATAAAGAAACGCTAGAGAAAGGGTTTTGTTTTTCTCCAGCCACTGCATTTCCAACAGGTTCTGTCAACCGTCTGTCCTGTTCTGCACAGAGACATTCCTCGCACAGTCACCTACTACTATAGATGGAGGGAGGACAGCTGGAAGAGCAAAGCTGGTTCAGCCGCTTCTGTTTCAGTCCCATGGAAGGTATCTGGTTTCCACTACTTTCCATTCTCCAGCTTTGGTCCTAGTAGCAGGAAGGGCTCACCTCAACACGCTGAGACACACAGGTAGGGCAGCTGTGACCCCAAGGGGACTTTCCCAGGGTCACCCAGCAGGTAGAGGGGAATAGGGCCTGGGACCTTGGTCTCCAGAATCACTTCCCAGGACTCTTGCCTCCAACTACATCCTATTGTAGTTACCTGCAGGACCAGGGTGACTGCAACCCTCCCCTCCCCTCACATTTACCTCTGACTTCTTGGGGGCCCTAAGGACAGATGTGTCTGGTCCCAGCAGAACTGACCCAAATGGCACCATCCACATAGAGGTCAAAGTAGATGGGAGGAAGGGATGGCAGGGTGGGTGGGTGGATGGATGGACTGACGGACGGTTGTGTGAATGGGGAAGGAGGCTGGTTGGCTGGTAGCATCCTGCATGGGGAGGGGGGCAGGAGAGAGGTAACTTTTCTCGTCTCAAGCAGAATCTGAAGAACCCAGGACCCACAGCAATGAGAGCCCAGCCCCAGCACGTTTCTGCTAGAAAACCGGGGCCAAAGAAGCCAAGGGCTTTGCCCAGGGCCGCAGGGAAGTCGGGGCAGAGCCGGAACCGGGACCCGGGGCTCGGCGCCGCGGCTCAGGGTTCCTTCCGCCCCCGGCCCCGCCCCCCGAGCCTGACCGTGCCGGGGGGGCGCCCTCGCCCCCACCTCCG